ACACTTAATAATTACACATGATGTATATAACACTTAATAATTACACATGATGTATATTACACTTAATAATTACACATGATGTATATAACACTTAATAATACACATGATGTATATAACACTTAATAATTACACATGATGTATATAACACTTAATAATTACACATGATGCATATAACATTTAGTAATTACACATGATGTATATAACATGTAATAATTACACATGATGTATGTAACACGTAATAATTACACATGATGTATGTAACACGTAATAATACACATGATGTATATAACACTTAATAATTACACATGATGTATATAACACTTAATAATTACACATGATGTATATTACACTTAATAATACACATGATGTATATAACACTTAATAATTACACATGATGTATATAACACTTAATAATTACACATGATGTATATAACATGTAGTAATTACACATGATGTATATAACATGTAATAATTACACAATGTATAATAAGTAGTGTTGGGCAAAGATTACATTTTTTTAATAGTGATTAATCTCAATTTTTTTTTGGATTAATCTCATTACTATATTCAAAATTAAATTATGACTTAAATATGTTTAGAACATTTGTAAGGTACAGTTTTGTATAATTTGTTGACTCCGTTAAAAAAAGCACGTTTCAACAGCATTGTTATCCTAACAAATAAAATATTTGTAATAACATTAACTTTAACAACATTGTTTTGGTGTATATATTAAATTGAATGTACAAAAATGAAATATAAGACGACAGGAGTCACAAAATATTTGAGTCATAAATCACTAATTTCAGAGTCCGACCTCAAAGTCCATAGTTCTAGCTCGCCATCTGTAAATCCATGTGAAGATTCTGGTCCAAAGAAAAAAACCTGACATAAAGGTCAGAAATACACATTAAGAATTTCCTTCAAAATAAAACAACTGTTGTCCGTGCAAAGCTCCATTTTTATGACCTCGCACCGGGGCTCAAGTCACATTTCAGTTCAGTTTCAGGGAGGGCTCGGTTCGGTTCATTTTCGGTACAAAAAAAGACAAAATAAAGACTTAATGTTTATTTTGAAAATATGTAAACAAGTAAACAATACGTTTGTATAAAAATAAATAAAAGTGACCCATTTGCATGATATTTTAAATAAACAGCACTCTCTACAATAAATAAACTATACTAACAATAAGGAACATCTCAATAAATGCAATAAGAGTCAGAACCAGAACAATAAGCAGCAACAGACCGTTTACAATCGAACTAATCCAGTTTTAAGTTTTTGACCAAAACAAACAACTTGTCCACATTTTCTGCCGAAAGCTCAGATCTAGTTGCAGTGAATGTCTCCAGCGGTGGAGAAAACCTCTCACTAACAACAGTGGCAGGAATAGAGAGGCAGCACTTTGCTAATGTTGCAGTGTGGCTGGATCTGGCCTCCTGACTCAACATCTTGGAGCTGCTCCCACAGGTGGGACAGGTGGGACAGGTCCCTGGAAGAGTCCAGAGTTCACTCATCACACACTTCTTAGCTGGAGGTGATCTCTGATTTCCCTGAAGAGCAAGAAGACTCAGCTGCTGTCTCTGTCCCAGACTGGAAATAAAACACAAATAGGTATTAAAAAAAAGAGTTAATAAGATTATAATTTTAAATTTAAAAAAAGTAATTAGATAATAATAATAAAATAACAATACCTCTTCTTGAACGGTCATCATTTGTTATGAGGCAGGGCTTTAATCTGGTCCGGGGCTTGTTGACAATATCAGTTTTATCTTTTTCATAAAGTGTTGCTACAACTTCTTAGCTGAAGTGTTGACGTGATGGGATGTCGTAGCGGGGCTCAGTAACTTTAAAGCCGGCGCATCAACAACAGAAACGTAGATGCAGAGCTTTAAAACTCCTTCATCTTGTGTTATTGCTCTGGACCGACCTGAATTACCTCATAACGGTTGTTTAAATGCTGCTGCTATCGATGTTTGCACAAACCGTGGAAGAGACGTTCACGTTCAGATGTAATTTCAAGTTGTTAAGTTGGACGTGTTGCTGCTGCAGATCCGCTCTCCGTGAAACCACGTCGACACAGCTTTGGATTTGTTCACTTGTCTTTGAACAAGAAAGACATAATGTCCCCAAACAGGAGACCACAACGAGAAGCTAATGCTAATCCTGCGCGTGCTGCAAGATAACAGCGCCGTGCTGAAACACGCTGAGGAACATTAGATCCGCGGTACATAATCTCTCGTTAATAAAATTGAATTAATGAAAAAATAACTGAAACGGTTCGCAGCCCTTCATCCCTGATCTGAACTTTTCTTTTGTTTTTCTTGCCAAAAGGCGACCTCTTCCTCCTCCGTTGATGCCATGACTGAAACTGTGAGAAATGAAGGAATTTGTCACGAGTGAATTCAGAGCAGGTCCAGCGTGGCTACAGGAGCGTCTGGAGATTTCCTGGTGGGCTGGTCTGATGTGTGGGCTGCAGGGCCAGCGCTCCCCGTTTTTTAAATTTTTTATAACTTTTTTATTAACAACGTATAAACAGAACACCGCTGCTCCTGGGCTGACAGCTCTCTTTTTTTGTGACCTGTCAATCAATCCAATAGGCGTGTCAGCAAATGACCAATCGGCGACCTCAGTTTGTCTCGAAGGTAAACGCTCCTTGTGTGCGGAGCTGACTGCAGCCGCTCAGGGTGGACCCTCGAAGTCTGAACCCTCTGTGGACGGTGCGCACAGGTTCTACTGGAGCCTTAAATGTCATTGCTTGTGTCAGTTCACAAGACTCTTGTTCACGTTTCAATCAAGAAAGGGATCTCCAGCGTCCGGACTCAAGGCAGAAGAGTTCTGGTGGGACAGCAAGATGTCCTTCATGAGATCTGCTCGTCTTAACTTGGTGGTGGTTTGTTGTAGCGATAATCCTCGGGCTGCTGGAGGTGACACGTCTCATTGAAAACAATCCCTTCATGGGTGTTTGAACGTAAACTACTGATTATGAGGCAGAATGGAAACGACTCTTTTGAGTGACCAGTCTCAAAAACAAAATAACAGAAGGAAATATATTAAATAACTTTAGCTTTACTTCAGTACAACTTCTTTATAAGCTGAACCACTACACAACACTCAGGTTTGTGATGATCATGTTCAGAGCTGAGAAGTAAAGCATTATTAATAAATCTACAACAAAACGTTCTTTGACACAGCACATATTGAAAGTGGTCATGGTAAGAATGTTTGCCTTGTAACGTTCTGCTTCGTTCATGCTCGGTAGTTGCATCAGAAATAATTTGTATACAATACTTTGACGTTGTGTAATGTTGAATGTTTTGTTGCATGGTCCATGAATAAACTTGCACAGAGGTGTTGTCAGAGCGGGGTTGTCACTCAAACATGAATGTTTTGGTGGCAGGTCTGGCCATGACCATGAGCTACCTGTTCAGGGAACCTGCAACCATCAGCTACCCGTTTGAAAAGGGACCGCTGTCCCCACGCTTCAGAGGAGAGCACGCTCTGCGCAGGTAAATGTATTCTTCTCTTTTAGCGTTTCAAATTCTGCAGTCCAAAAGAAAATGTTTAAAAATGAACAAATTGACAAACCTTGAAAGCCTAAGATTACAGAATTAAAAATCTGTTCACTTGAAAATCTAAAAAAGAAAACCGCCAATGAAAATGTGACCGTGTGGCTGACACGACAAAACTGCAGCAGTAAAATGTCATGTTTTCATATCCTCCGTACCTAACTAACCATCTAACCAACTAACTAAGTTGTTCTGAGAAACTGTGCTGTGCCTCGCTTTAGGTTGAAGAGACACATTTTCAGGCCGTCTCACCCAGCAACATTATAACAAAATGTCGTTTATCTGTAGCTTGAGAAAATAAAAGCCTCCACATGTACATGTTTTAAAATAAAATTTATCCTGCTACTTTTTGTGTAAATGAAACATCCATCCATCCATCCATCCATCCATTCACTTGTTCTGTGTGGAGGCAGCAGCACGGAGGTCCAGACATGTCTTTCCTCGGCCACGTCTTCCACATTAGACGTAGTCTCTCCAGCGTGTCCCGGGTTTTCTCCGGGGTCTCCTCAGTCAGACGTGCCCAAAGCACCTCTCAAGGGAAGTGCCCAGGGAGCATCCTTACAAGATGTCCAAACACCTCAACTGTCTCTTCTGGATGTGGAGGAGCAGTGGTTCTACTCAGAGTCTCTCCTGATAGCTGAACTTCTCCCCCTGTCTCTGAGGAGAGTCCAGCTGCAGAGGAACTCAGTTCAACCTCTTAAATAACATCGTGAACTGTTTTTGTGGCGTTATGTTTATAGATTCTTCCATTTCAGTTTTTCTTCTTCTTTCAGCTTTTCCCTCTTCAGGGGTCTCCACAGGGAGTCCTCCTCCATCTCACTCTGTCCTCTGTGTCCTCTGTCCTCACTCTTAAATACCTCCATGTCCTCTCTAACTGCATCCATATGTCTCCTCTTTGTCTTTTTCCTGCAGCTGCATTTCTAACATCCTTCTACCAATATACCCACTGTCCATCTTCTGGACATGTCCAAACCACTGTCCCTCCGCAGGACATGTCCAAACC